GGCAAGCATTTTTATCACCATCTCTTTATTGGGATAAATCTTCCCAAAGTTCTTCAAGTCATTTATGATCGTGGTGAACCGATCGTACATCATCTTAATGTCTTCATTGGGCTTCATCTTTAAGTTCTCATAGTTGAGAATAAGAATGTCAATCTTGGAGTTTTTGACTTGGCTTGTTCCTTCATGAGTGACTTCAAGCTTGTCCCAAATTTCTTTAATATTGGAGCATGAGGACACTCTGCTATACTCAACGGGGCCAAGTGCACAAAAGAGAATGTGCATGGCTCTGGCGTTAAGTTGAGCTAGCTTTCTATCTTCGTTGGTCCATTTCGAGTTATTTCTTGGAGAAGTAAGTGAACCATCAATGATGACATCCCAAACTGAGTAATTGGTAGCTTGAACGAACAACATCATCCTATTCTTCCAATATTAATAATTTGCACCATTGAATTTTGGGGGTCTTGTAATGGATTGAGAATCTTCAACATTATAGGAGTAGAAAGTTGAGGCCATCTTTATCGGTTGATTGAAGAAGTTGATAGAGCTCTTCAATGACCTTCTCAAGGTTGTTAAACCGTTGTTAGAGACCCGCTCTGGTTCCAATTGTTAGCTCTAATGAACAACTGAAAAATGCCAAGAGTTGGTGAATTGGGCTTTTAAATTTTTTTTTGGAATAAATCAAAAAATAAAAACTTTGCACAATGATTTAGAGTGGTTCGACTTATAAACCAAGTCTGCATCTACTACATTAGCTATCCATACTAAGCATTTCTCAAATCCACTATATTTGCAAATCTTTAAGGATAAGGTGTAACCTTACAAAGACACACAAGATTTATACCCCCAGAACCTTGTTTACACACTCTCCCAAAGAGAAATTACAAACTTAGCAAACAAAAGAAAACCTAACGAAGGCAAATGAGTTTGCAACTAATTAAGAAGACACCAAAATTACACTTGAGCAAGAATAAACAAGAAGCTCACAAATGCATTTACAACGAATTTGACAATTTAGCACTAAAAACTCTTTTGATGTTGAAATGATCTTGCAATATACTTTCTTGTTGTTCTCCATTTGAATCTTGGTCCCTTTTATGTCTTCTAACATCAATCTAACCGTTTGGAGCCATTGGGGATTGAATAGAGCTGTTGGATTCATTAATTTTGAGCATTTAATGCTCACCAGCATATTTGGTATCGAGACCAACAAGTTGGTATAGAGACAAAGCCCTTCCAACAGTCAAATTTATAGCCGTTAAGCCTTCAGTATCGATGTTGTTTGAATTAGTATCGATACCCACCCTTTGCTCTCGAGACTAAAAAGCATTCTAACATTTTTAGAATCAAGACTGAATAAATGGTCTCAAGACTGGCAGTTATTTTGGCAAAAATTAAGTGTTTTGAGCTTTAAAATTAATAAAGTGGATAAATTCAAAAACACTTGGGATAATTTTTCACACTTAAAAATACTTTAAAATTATTTATGACAAATTATATATAAATATTGTGAAGTTGTAAATTTTATCAATTTAAAATATTATAATAATCTTGATTTATCAAAATCAAAATTTAGTTCAACAAAATACTTGCTTTGTTTACTGTTTTATTGCTTAGATTTGTAAGAGCTTTCAAGAGTAGCCTTAATCTTTCTATGATGCTTAATCGTCGAGAGAGTTAAGCTTAGATCTACGTGAACAATGAGGTTGAGCCGAGAAGCAAAACTTTAACTCACCTTAGAGATAAGGAAAGAGTTTCAACGATTAAAAAAAGTAGAGCTTCATAGAGAGTAACTTGCTAGGGTTTACACAGAAATGTATTGCTTTAGCATTTCCACTATCATTTTCTTACTAGAGATAGCTTAGACACACTTTAGTAAACTCTATCGAGTAGCGTATTACTGGAATATGCTAATCATTTATTAAAGATAAGACATAGAAGTCTACAATAGACCCAGCCTTTTATCCTTCTTGAGAGTTTCACTTTCGTATCGTTGTCTTATTTCATAACCCAGTTCTCAACATAATTTTACAACATTTATTTACTTTACCTTTTTGTTACAGCATTTCACACTTCTTATTTTGTTACAACATTCATCTCACCTTGTTCATACCATTTATATACAATATTTGTTTATAGATTTAGTGTGCATATTCTGTACTTAATTTCCCTCCAATCCCTTTGGAGATGATCCCACTCATCACTTTATTACTTGAGCGATGTGTATACTTGCACAATTTGCGAATCACATTTACACAACGCATACAAGTTTTTGGAGACACTGCTAGAGATTGCAATTGATATTTGAAGTTTAGTTATTGCACTATTTTATTTCTTCTTTTTGTATATATTTACTTGTTATTTTTTATTACCTTTTTTTCAGGTGTTGTGTTATTCAATGACCCGAAGAAGACCCGAAGAACCATTATTACCTTCTACCTTCCGTTTTCTAGTAGGTAATTGACACTGGAATTAGACAAACAACAACAATGAGAGACCGGCTTGGAGTTCCTTATATCAATCTTTGGCTTGCAAGATATCGCCAAACATGGCCTTAATTTTGTTAATTTCCAATATGGGTTGGATTTTGGGTCGAGTGAAGTCACCCAAATAGGGTCAAGTTTTAGGTGGAATGTATATTTTTATTAGGTCGGGTTGAATTGACCGCAAACCGACTCATCCCGTCCTATGTCGATCCCTAATCTAACTGCTATCTATATGACCCTGAACAGAAAAAGGAATAGAGAACAAAGTTAGCAGCACAACTCAAACTCAGATCGATGACAAAAAAAAGATAGAACATGAATTAGTAGACGCGATTCGAAAGAGTGTCTTTGCCACAGCCACTGCATAGGATGATAAAAAAGCAACATTATATTTATATGTAAAACCAGAACATAGCTACTTGGGAAATTTTAGAGTGTCAGCAGCCTCACAGCCTGGGAATTGAAATGGGAATTTATGAGTTGAACTTCCCACATCAAGCTGCGTTTGAGAGATATATTTGTTTTGAGAGTGGTGATGATGATGATCCATGCTGAGAGGCTGCGTTGTTTGAAGCTTGTCCAAGAACGACCATTCACCATTGTACCTCATCTGATCTTGCTGCATAAGTCCACCGCCACTGCTTGTCGTTAGCCTCAATAAGTTTTGAGAGCATTCTATATCCATGGAGTTCAAAGATAGTGGTGATATAAAGGAAGGAGCAACGGCCGTTGATTCTGGATTAAATAACTGCGGCAGATGCATGGAGGCATCAAAGGAATACTGATCATGCAGAGTATGCAAATGATTGTTGTTATTATTATTATGCCTCGGCTCCATTTGAGACGAAGAAGCAACACTCTTCATGTGACAAAAGTTTTCTTCTTCAATACTGAAATCCGCCTGAAAATTACCTCTGACAAGATTCTTCTTCTTGAAAACCCTGCAAACAACCCACCCATCTTCCTGCTAGCAAGGCCATTATAAGCTATTGTCACTTATTGTTCTTGGATTACAATTAGAAACTGTGATCTAAGTCAAGGCCTTTACCTGAGCATCGGAATCCTCGTCGTCTAATCGATACTCATGCATGATCCAATCGGTTTTCTGGCCATGAGGGGCACGTCCTGTGTAGAAAACTAGGGTTTTCCTCATGCCGATTTTCTTGGAGTTGCTGAGGTGGATAACCTTGTCCCTCCCAGTTGCCTTCCAAAAACCAGCTGAGGTTGCCCTATTTGTTCGAGTTCCTGTTGGGTATTTCTTGTCCTTGTGACTGAAGAAATACCACTCGTTTTGAGGACCCGACCCAATTCTGCATTTCTCTGCAAGTAAAATTCATACCACAAAACATTCTCAATTTAATCATAGATTGGTTGGTCTAAAGCTTGGAGGTAATCAACGAATGAGATGAACTGACCTTTAAGATCCCAAGGCTCAAGTTTGTTGAGATCCACTTCCCTTATGACATCGAGGTCGATAGTTTCATACGACACCTTCTTCCTCAGGTAATAGTAGAGAAGCTCATCGTCTGTTGGGTGGAATCGAAAACCTGGCGGAACTGAAAGCTGCACATTTCCTGCCATCACTTTAATTTCCACGATTGCTCTGGAACACCAAAATACCTTCATTGTTAGTAACTATATATGTATATATAGATCATCATTACAAGGAATAAATAAGAACTACATATGTAAAAGGAAAGAGAAACTACCTCGGTTACATTTATATATAATACAAGAAACTACATACTCTATACGTATATATATTTTTCCTTTCATTTTATAAAGAAAGCTTCAGACGTTTGAACTTTGTGTTATTGTATAGTTTAGGGATTGATGAACAGATGGAGAAGCCATGCAGTTATAGAATCAAATTTGATGTGTTAGTGAAAGTTTGAACCCTAAACAACAAACAAACCCTAAATTCTAATGAGTAAATAAATTACAACCGCATGCATGCTGAAAGGTATATAATTAGTTAGTAACAAAGAGAAAAGTAAAGGAAATGGAAAGGCAAACCTTCTTTTTGGCGTTGAAGGATGTGAATGAGTATGATAACTGTACAAACGAAACAATACAAAGAGAAGAAGAAGTAAAGGCAAGCAACGATATGAGAGAGAGATTTCTTAGCTTAAAAGGCACGATGTTAGGGATTTTAAGAGAGAGAGATGAGAATGTAGATAAATATGAGACAACCGAGGATGGGCTGGCTTGGCTGGGTTAAAAAATAATACAGATAATAAAATATATTCTTTACTTATATATTTATACTAGTTAATTATTGGGTAAAGAACACATGGTGCTACTTTGTTAAGTCCTCCACTATTTAAAGTTATAAAATGGTCCGCTAACTATAGGACATTGCTTTGTTGAGTCCTCTTACTATTAAAAGTTATAAAAATGATCACCTGATTATTTATATATTCTAAACTCGACCTTTTCCATTAAAAACTTGGTTGTCATTTGAGCTGGACGTTAACACATTACAAGAAATTGCATTTTCAGTGACACTAAGAATAGTCAATAAAAGTATCAAATTTAGGCATTGAATATCATAGTGATAAAATTTTTTAGGCATAACTAATAATTCAGTCACTATTATATTAGTGATGACTATAATGAATTTTGTCACAATTACTTATGTTTTTTGTGAATACATTTTTTCGGCACATAAAGATTAATAACAATGACGGAAATTTAGGCAATAATATTATCATTATTAGTGACAAATATTTTATCATAACTACATAATTAAATTGATTAATTAAAAAATTCATTATGAATTCATTATAGTAGATATTACATTTTTAGTTGTATTCATCTTGTTTAGAAACTTGCATTGTAGTCATTGGCATCATTAATTTTAAGATGAACGAACCTGAAACCTTCATGTGAAGAGTGCAACGCTTATCTAGTAATCACTAAGAAAAAAATATTTGTTTTTGACAAGAATAACTTTTTTGTTTAAACTATTGTTGGAATTAATTTTATTTATTTTATGATATATATATATATATATATATATATATATATATATATATATATATATTAAATTTTCTATGATCTCTCATAAGGAATATGTTCATGGAAGAAAAATATAAAAATATAATTATTAAGATTTGAGCCCAAAATAATATCAAGTGTCCTTAAAATGTATTTAATAAAATAAAATAAAATAAGAATATTTGATAGTGTATTAACCTCTTGTGGTGGAAATCCTAAATTAAAAAAACAAAATACTAATAATTAACTAGTTTTTGCAGAATTCACATATATCTCAATAGAGATCATAAATTATAGGCTTAAACTAAAATAAGTACTTAAAATATATTATTTTTCTTTAGGTACCTAAATTATATTTTGGTCAAACTAGGTACTTAAACTATTATATGAAACCACGTTAAGTACATCAACAATTTTTTGGTCAAAAAAGTCCCTAAACTATACCCATTTTTTGCTTTAAGCCCCTAAAATATTTTTTGGTCAAAACTAGACCTAGTTCTGTCTGGTGTGTCAACATCTTAGTTGTCGAAAAATAATTTTCTAACTAAAAAAATATTAGGACTTAAAATAATTAAATATAATAGTTTAAATACCTAGTTTGACAAAAAAAATACTTTAAGTACCTAAAGCAAAAAAGGAGCATAGTTTATGTTGGGAACGAAGAGGCTCAATTGAACAACCAAAAAAATTGCAAGAGGGGTGAATTGGCAAAAACAGTTTAGAGAGTAAGGAGAGAGAAAATATAGAAACTTTTGCACAGCGATTTATAATGATTCAACTTCTCAAATAAGTATATATCCACTACCTTAGCTCCTCACTAAGGATTTTCTAACAAATTCACTAATTTGTCCTTTCTTTTTCAAGGATCAAGAGATAACCTTTACACTCCCTAGTTTTTCACTTGGCTAAATTAGAACCAATCCCCTTTTACAAAAAGTAAAAAGAAGTAAACAATAAAACCTCTCAAAGGTAGGGTGTTTGCAAATTTAGCTCACTAAACACTAATATTTACAAGAGAGATAAAAAATAACATTGGAAAACTTTTATCTTATGTTTGAATTTTTGGATATATGTTCTAACACTTTTTCAAGTGTCCTCAACTTGTATTTATATGTTGGAATGAAGTTGTGACCGTTTATAGCCGTTGGGGATGATTTGGAGTCATTTGTGCATATTTTCTCTACAAAATAAAACTGCCCAGTACAGAGGGTATCGGTACTCCTAAAGGGAGTATTGGTACTATCTTTGTTATTTTTAAATCAACTAGTCGTTACTAGTCGTTGGGGCCTGATGGTATCGATATTATGCCTATGGTATCGATACTACTATGTAAAATAATATCGATACCCTTTGGGTATCGGTACCATTTTTGTATTCTGGAATTTTGAGCAATGATGGTAGTATCGATACTACCTAGTGAGTATCAATACTTCCTTTACCTTTGGTATCGGTACCATATGAACAGTATCAATATTGTTCATGAGGTATCGATATTGTAAGAATAGTATTGGTACTGCTTGTCCAGAAAAATATTTTGTGCTCAATTCCAAGTTAAATGGACATTGAATTTTTTTTTGAAAACTTTGAATAAATTCAATTCAATTCCAAAAACATTTTACCTTAAATTGTTATATCAAAATATAGTTCAATAGTTTATGTCAACCCTAACTTAGGGGCTAATTTTTGAAATTTTAATTTTGGGGATTAATCTAAATTTTTAATTAAATTTGGATCAAATTAAAAAAAGTAGCAAAACATCAAGGACTTGTGGCATAATTTTGCCATTTTCTAAACATATTAAGTTTAAAACCCTCACCACGTGTCGTAAACTATTCATTTTTAGAAACCAATTCTCTCTAGCTTTCTCTCTTTCCTTTTTGGTCTTCTTCTCAAAGAAAATTTTAACCATTATTTCATCTTCGATCGTAGTTCTGTTTGCTTCACTGCCCATACCATTGCATTCCTGGAGTTGTCCCAAGTCCACCGATATCTTCTTTGTAGTAATCTTCATCGGGTGAAGGAAAACAAGTTTCTAACGTTGAAAAATCAAGCCTCCGTTATTCATAGTCGTGAACCAAGCCTGGTAAGTGACACAAAACCCTATTATAAGAATTTTATAATTTTTTTAAAAAAAAATTCAATGCGCTTCGCTACCGCACATGCCCCCACACATCGCCCCTGTGAGTGAGACTCCTCCAATGCCTGGAGAAGAGTTCGAGAACCGAGTCAACCCAACCCACCTGACCTAATCCAAACCAAACCGATCCAAATCCTAACTGACCCAACCCAATCGAATCAGGCCAAATAAGTCCAATTAAATTAAACCTAACTAGTCTATCTAAATCAGACCGAACTAGTCCAGCTGAGTCGTGCCGTTTCGAGTCGAGTTGAGCCAACCTGTTTTCCATTGACTCTGTTGACAACCATTTACTGTTGACCAGCATTGACTTCGACCATTGACCACATTGACTTTTTTTGAAAATCTCCCTATTGATGTTTTTCGATTTCTTGGGTCCAATTTTATTGTTCGTTTCGCCAAATTCTAACCCTAAATGCCTCGAAATAAGCCCATTAACCCAAAAATACTTAGTATTTTTTAATATGTCTACATGATTATATGGGTATTGAATATAGAATTGATTTGAGAATTTATTTTTATGAAGGTACTTATGTTCCGCCGCCCCCATCGAGGGTTTACTAGATCCTGTGAATCGCGTCTAGTAGATTTGCACAATCCATGTACTTCGAGAATTACTCGTAGGTTTTTCGTAAATTGTTTAAATAAAGTTTATTAATTATTATATTAGGTTAGTGGTAGAGTTTCTCTTGTTTGTAGGATCTAGCATTGTCGTTTATTGTGATAGGTAAACCCGACAGTAGGCTACCCTATCAGATTTCTTAAACTGATATTGGTGTGTTCCTTATAGTATTAAATTTCTATTTTAATTTATTTATCTGAATCGTTCTAAACTTCTAATGATATTGAACATTTTAGTGACATGTCCTCTAATTTATTGTATACCGATTACTAGATTCTAATTTACCGTATATTTTTGGCATGATCTCTGGTTACCTTATTTTTCTGAATTTGATTTTAAACCATGGATTGTTTTCATGTTTTGATATTAAACTATTGTTTTGAATGAAATACATGCATATTTACCATCTTTTGGGGTATTTTTGGAGGAAGTATTTCAGGCTTAGTTTATGACTTGTATGACCTTACTGTAAGCCCCTCTAATTTGTGCAAAGGGTGAGTCCTGACCGCAAGTCTTTATGCTTTAAGTATAAATTCCTTAACGGGTGTACATGTGGGTGTAAGGTTTAGGGGAACCTACACATTCTGGTGTTTAGATGGAGGTAGTGTTCATGTTTTAAAAACATGTTTTTCAAATTAATTTTTACCAAATTATTTTATCTGTATTTTTTTATTTACACCGCAAGGAGCACACTGAGCTTTTTAACTTACTATTTAAATTTTTTAACTTTTTAGATATTACCAGCAATAGACTAGTAGACTTGGCATTAGGAGGATCGATTGATTTCCTTTCTACCCATTGTATATTTCTATATGGCCTTTTTGTTACATTTTGGTGACAAGGGTTTCTGCTACTGTCTTTATATATTTATATGATCGACATTATGTTCTGAACATATGTTATATTGATTTTTTTATACTTATATATATATATATCGTATAAACCTTACTGTTGGATATTTCCATATTTTTATTGTTAAATGTATCTTATTCACTTAACTAAATTTCAACTACATTTTAATTATGACAAGTATTTCTAAATACAATATGTGACTGTCTAGATTCATGCATACGTCTGGGTCAGGTCTAGGGGGTTACACTTGGTGGTATTAGAGCTTTTGGTTATAAACATCCAGACTATGGATGAGTCCTAAATATCATATTTTTGAAAGATATTTTCTAATATTTACAAACATTGTGTCACTTTATTTTACGAGTTTTAAATAAATTCAAGATTTTTTATGTCGGACTAACTTATGTTTAAATCACGGTCAGATAAGCGTTACTCGAGGTTGTAGGTAAAGTCATAGTCTTGGGTAAACAACTCGACCTTCTATTTATACACACTATTTGATCCTAGCTCAAGATCCTCATGTTTCGTTTGTTAATCCGTCTATTTCTTGTGATGATCTGGTTACGCCTACGAGAAACCCTTTCATCGTTGAGGATGAGGACACTAAGATGGATGAGAATGCCTAAAACTTTAGGTAGTATGTCAGTTGTTGATATATCAAAGTCTTTGGTGGCTACTAGATTAGTCCCATTTGAGGGCATCACTGGGGACTTTCGATTGATGTTGAGTATTGGTTGGAGTATACTAAGCAGATTATGGATGAGATAAAACTGAGGCCTGAAAAGAAGTTAAAGGGGGTACTAGCCATGCTGAAGAAGGAAGGTTATAGGTGGTGGTGATTGATTTCCAGGAGTATTCCAGATAATCAGTTGACTTGGGACCTTTTCAAAGAATGTTTTAGAGTCAATATGTTGG